ATGATGATGATGATGATGATGATGATGATGATGATGATGATGATGATGATGATGATGATGATGATGATGATGATGATTTGGTATGATTTAAATAATGATGATATTTTTTAAATAGCTTACCTACTAATAATATAAACATTCCAAAATCTTGTAATACTTTCATTTGTGTTACGTTGCCAATATGTAATACCTTTCTATATGATTGAGCATCATCTATTGCACCTATCCATACACCCTCTTCAGTACCAATTGCAACCATCTTACGATTTGATGATCCATAAACTTTTAAACAAACAATTAATTAATTAAAATAAAACTTTGTATATCGAAAAAAAAAAAAAATATATATATATATATATACCAAATGGTACGGAGCAAGTGACTTTGCCTTTTGATAAACTATTATGACTATGATTGTTATAATGGTAGTTATCAATATTTCTATGGCTATCTTGATTCCCGATAGACAAATTAGTAAAGGTGGAATCATTGATGGTGATCAATTCAAATAATTTATATTTAGCATTTTTTGACGCAAGATGAGTTTGGGCTTCGAGGATTTTTTCTTTCCATAACTTTTTTTTATCCAAGGAACCTGCGTATAATTGATAAGTTACTTCACCATTATTTTTACCAACATAAATTATTGTGAATGATAAATTTTTCATCTGTTGCTGATTCTGATTATTCTGAATTGATTCATCAATTATTAATGATTTTGGTCTTTCGTAATTGTCAACAAATTTGTTCGATAATGAATTTGATTTTTTAGATCCTCTTGATCCTTTTGATATAATTTTTTTTGATTCAAACATTCGTAAATATTGTGAATTACTGCCTGACCTCGTACGACCAAGATCATTAAATCCATCTAATACTAACATTTCCAATGGAATGGGCTTACATTTATTTATACATGTATCATAAACCATTATATATTATTAATCTCATGTATTATAATTATAATTAATATAAATATTTCGGTACAAAACAATTTAAATATAAAACAATTACCTTTCCAGATATAATGTATTTTTCATTGCCATCATAATCAATCATTTTTCTTTTAGTCAATACTAAATAATTATCAAAAAGAAAAACAAAAAGATCACTCCATTCAAGACGATTGCTTGATCTCCTTTGTAGTTCACCTTTAAAAAAAAGGATTCTTTCAGGATTTAATATATCTAGTTGTTCCTTCAAAAAATTTAATTTTAATATTGAAAAAAACGAAAATAATGATTTAATATATAATCAAATTTAGTAAAAGTTTTACAAAAACATATAATCATCCTTACAAAAACTTTATTATCTTGCGTTCTTATTTTTAGATAAAGTTCTCTAAATTTTACTTTTTTTTCTGACTCATGAACTTTATTATCACTTTCTCTACATAAATGTTTGAATGCTTCTATAGATTTAATAAGAACTGGTTTATCAGGATTATCGTCAGAAGTGTATTTAAGTATTTGTTCAAGTAGTAAAACGTATTTTTGTAGACGTGGTGTAGGCCTTTGTACAAAGTGACGAAAGTCTAATCTACGAGTCTGTGGATCTCTTGAACATCTCTAACAATAATTATAATAAATTTTAATTTTATATTAATTGGTTTAATTTAAATAAATTACCACTTACCTCTAGAAATTCTTTGAAGTTATGATTTTTTAATTTTTCATTTTTGACAAGATAATCGGCAAAAGGAAAATTTTCGTTATATTTGATATAATGATGACCAAATTGTTGAGCACACTCCAAGAAAATATCACCAATTTTTTCAATCACATGACTTTGTTGTTGTCTGGTTTTTAGGAGGTGAAGCATTTTTTTGTTATCGGTCAATATGCCATCAAAAACATTGCAAAATATCCCTTTGATGAATTCTTCGAGTCTTTCTGGTGGTATAATGGGTGGTGTGGCATTTCGAAGTTGTTTAACATATACCTAGAAAAAGAGAGGGAAAGTAGGAAAATCATAAATCATACATAATAATTAATTAATTAATTCATTAACTGATTCACTCCATTTTTTTAACTAACAGTTTCCAAAATAATCAAATCATTAATATAATCTTCTTCGGTATAAATAGTTTCAAAAATAATTTCTTGTCGTTTTAATTCATTTCTAGAAATTTTATCCAGTATTTCCTTAGGAGCTGAATTCATCCATGAAAATTTTGGTAATAGAGTATTATCCTATATATATATATTTATTATTTATTTATTTATTTATTTATTTATTTGATTAAGAAAATTAAAAACCATAATGATGAAAATAATTTACAAAATCTGGTATTGACTTTCTCCCTATATCGTTATTATTGATCGATGGAGGTTGAGGATTCTAAAAAATTTCAAAAATCAATATAATTATTATTACTACGAAAAATATTAAAATCGCCTACCTGATTATGAACATAATTTTTACAAGTTGTAGAATAACAACCTTTACTGTCATCACTAACAATGCCACTATAAATATTACACAAAGGACTATAACAATTTGTTGAGACTGTGGGAAAAACACCATTAGGAAATTCATCAACATCATCAACATCATCAACACCGTCCAATAATAATGAATCTCGATTAAAAAGAAACGAGTATACATCTTTATCAGAATCGTGTATTACAACAAAATTGTTGTAGGAGGAAAAGGCAAGGTTAACTGATTGAAAAAACATTTGTGATTCTAACGACCTTGCCATTTGTAATGCAACATGTCTTGGCGTATTTTTTGGTAATAAAGAATGGATTGTGCCCTATATAATTAATATAAATGCGTATTGATGTAAGCATACATACATACATATGTGTGTATGTGTTTAATCGATTTAATTAATAATTACCACGGCATCTGAACCAGTAAAAGTATTGGAATAGTCGATAAACCCTTTAGTGTGAACATCTAACTTCTGGTTTTTTCTAAATTTAATTGCAATGTAAGATAACAAAGCAGGATTGTTTGTATTTATTATTGATTTAGATGATGGCACTGAAATTTTTTTTGGGAATTGTTAAAACAATATTAATAAGTAGTATATTAATAATTATCACCAATAAATTATCATTTGTATTACCACTATAAGGTTCTAATGGGGAAATTGTTGGATCATTATTATAAGTGTTGTTATTATTATTATTATAATAAGTTTGGTAATCTGTTGCAGCTAATTCCGTGTCAATTAAATTAAGCAATTCATTAATTTCAATATTTGATATTTCAGACATGAGTTTCTTATAATAATGCAAAAAAGATGATTTTTTAAAAAAATAAAAAACACCTGCATTAATATTTGGTTGATAAATATAATGTTATACGCATAAAATGAAATAAACATAAATATATAATTTTCTAAATTCATTGTCCATTAACGGGAAAATACGAAAAAGTATTTATTTTGATCGTGTAACAAAGAAAGGATTAATATTAATATAACCGTCCGTGCTCGTGCCAAATGCCATTCATTGATTAATTTGATTAATGATAATCTTAAATTTTTACATAATTGTTACTTATTTACTTATTACCATAATTATCTTAATTAAAAAATTTAAAAAATTAAATACATAGATTAAATCGAAAATTATTTTTTTTAAAAATAAAACGTTCTAATTAAAATTATTGCGAATAATAATAATCATCAGAAAACGAATACGATGAAATTGGAGACGGCGACGAAGTTGTAGTCATAGTTGTAGTTAAGGGCGTTGATGAATAATAATTATAACATTCGCTATTATAATCATTATTATTATTATTATTATTATTATTATTATTATTATTATTATTATTATTATTATAATCGGTGCTATAATTACAATCGTCAAGATTATAATAATAATAATAATTATTATTAGTAGCAGTGTTAATGGTAATATTATTATTATCATTGCCGATGCTGCTGCTGCTGCTGCTGTTGTTGTGTTTGTAATAGTTATGATCTTGGGATTGATCCGGTTGATTATAATCCACTAATTGACACGCTGTCGTAGCGGTTGTATTATTAATATTATTAATAATAATATTATTATTAAATGTATTGTTAGAAGTTGGCGAATAGCCAGTGTTATTATATCCATCATTGGCATAATAATAATAATAATAATAATAATCATCATCATCATCATTGTTATTGTTATTGCTATTACAACTGTCTTTTTCATTACAACCACCTTCTCGGCCATTATCTGATTTTCCACGTTGCCTTAGCAAAAACAGACGTTTGGCTTGATTGGAAATAGCTCTATACGCGTTTTTTATATGATTTGGCTCACGCCTCCACAATTTGGCGATAATTGGCGAGGCAATAGTCATTGAGACATAATGACCATTTTTGTGAAGTTCGTTTACAAAGGCCTTCCGATAGACCATAAAAGAATTGGGAGATCTAGACGGCATCTTGCCATTCTTTTTACAATTTATCAAGGCCTCTGCTTTGATGTCTGGGGGAAAAGGGATATTGATATTTTCGAATTCTTTAAAAGAAACGGCATTGTTGCCGTTGTCATCATCTCCACTACTATAATGAAGGTCGATGCTTGCAGGATCGTAGGTGGAAGGTGTTGTATTTATAAATTTAACTGATGTTGATGACGATGAAGAAGAAGAACAAGGATTTATAGACATCTTTGGTTTTATATTTTGTTTTTTTTTACAAGTAATATATGATTATTATTATTATTATTATTATTGTCTATATATAACTCTATCTATATATCTAAGTTATTATTAATTATTAATAATATTGTAATTTTTGTTTTTAAATTATTTGTCTTAGGTTCGAAAAAAATAATTTTTTTGATTTTTTTATCCCGAAAAGAAATAAATCCCAGGAGTTTATATAATGAAAGATAATTATGTAATATAATGGATCTATTATAAATAAACACCTTCAACAAAGATTTGGTATGTTAATATAAAAAAGGCAATTGATAAAGCAAAATATACAAATATAAAAAAAACATTTTATTTTTTGGTCCAATAAACATAAAACGCAAAAAAAAAAAATATAAACATAAACAAAATCGATCCATTGTATCATATGCGCTTTTTGAATTAGGAAAAGGGAATTATTATTTTTAGACGTCTTAAAAAATGCATATTTGAGAAATTAATTGGTATTCAGTAGCATTCAATAGAAATAAACAAAAATGTAATTGACTCGAAACAGGGTTTCAATTCTACCAAACAACATTCGCTCCATACAGTTTGTAAAAATAACTTGCAATTCTAATTTTTAAAATGATCAAATGACACAATTTTACCCAACTTTTTCCTTATCTCTTGCGCATTTCTTTATTTCACCAGTGAAATTAGGAAAATATCTTTGTCATGAAAGAGAACAAATCAGAGCTTTGTAAAACTCTAATAATAATAATGACACATAATACATAATATATAATGTCCATCTAATTATATTTATTATATATTGATCTCCAACTAATTTAATAATTGTGTTTATTTGTTTGTTTTCTAGCCCCTTCCCTTCTTTCTCACGCCTTCATATATTTCCTTTTCCTTTTTATTTTTATTTTTTAATTAAATTACAATAAAATTGAATTTTTAAATTAAATTAAATTGCAATAAATTTGAATTTTATTTAATGTATGACAAGAATGGCAAGACATGACAACAACATTCACCATCGTGAATATGAAAATCATTTTATTCTTTTTAATCCTGAATAAGATTATTGCGAGGAAAAAAACATTGTCTCCGGAGCAACATAAAAATCATACTAATACTAAAATACACAATAATTCGTTATTGTTATATCACAACGTAATCTGTAATATTAAAAATATTAATATTAATATTGTAATTGTAATATCACACATAATCTTATAATATCACTTCATATCACATCATAATTCATAATTTTCCGGGATTGTTTATTTTGAACACATAATAACAATATTTGTAATAATAAAAAGAATTAAATTGAATGGTTGTTTTTCATGCATAGATTCTTCCATTTTAAAAAATACATGGTCATTTGGATCATGGTAACTGTCATTCACTACCAATGGAAATAGGATTCTACAAATTTAGAAAAAATTTATTAACTTGTTTATATTATTGTTATTATTTGTGAATCCAAAGAAACCTAACTCGGTGCTTGGTTTGTTTATTGTTATTGATATTAATTACGATGAAATTTTTCCGAAAAAAATAGGGAATCTTTAGTTTATTCATTTATTTTTGCTTTTACTTTATAAACGTTCATCCTTAATAATAATTGTTATAATTATCATCACCAATCTTCTTTGCATTTTTTTTTCTAATAATTTCTTGACAAATATTATTTTTTGTGAAACACAATTATAAAAAATTTTATTTCTTAATATATTATTAAATACAATACTTATAAAATAATAATAAATTACATAAATTACACAATTATTATTTATGTTAAATAATGTATAATTGCCCAAATGCAAAATAAAGTAAAAATCCCTCCACCTATAAACACCCATTTATCTTGAGACATTCTACGCTCAATATACTGAATCACATTACGAGACAATCCGAGTGTATTTGCTGCGTCAAGCATTTTTCTTTGTGCGTTCTATTAATCAACCAACCAACCAACCAGTCAATATGTGTGTTATAATATATATAAAGTCTTTATATTTATTCCTACCTTTAATATATTATTTTGATCGTAAATATTATGAAGCACTTCTCTTCCATGTGCTATATATTCATCGAGTTTTGTTTCTGTATCATTTATAAATTCGTGTTCTCTTAAAGCATGTTGTTCCCTCGTCATATTATTGTTAACATGATTATTGATATTATTTTGGTATGGATGTTCCGGCTAAAATATTTGTCATTATTTATTATTACTCACTTTTAATGTATGTATATATATATTATAACCAATCAAAACAAATATAGATTACCGTATTTGTGTTATGTCTTCTTCCTAATAATTCTGATCTGTTATTTTCTGTAATCTATAAATATATAAAAGATTTATAAATATACAAGTATTAGATAATGATAATAAAATAGATAAATATTTATCGTCCATCATTCGTCATTATTCATCATCACCATTATCGTTTCTTATACCTTATTGGCTTCTCGTTGCTTCAGTCGTTCAAATTGAAAATTCATTTCACTATAATCTTCTCTTAATTTACTTATATTTCTAAAGTATATTAATATATTATTATTGTTGTTGTTATTATTATTTGTATTTATATTTGTATTCATTATATGTATATATAATATCACACACACGCATATATATTTTTAATAATTCATACGCGAATGCTTTGTTTTGTTTCACCAAAATCACTTCTCTTTTAGCTTGTACATCATAATCTTCAATTGTACGTTTTAATGCTGTAAGGCTTGCTGAAATTTGTCCTGTTTCAATAATAAAAAATAACAATTAACAACGATTTATTTAAATGATTTATTTATTTATTTATTTATTTATTTATTTAATGATTTATTATTATTCCACAAATATTAGTAAATATTAATTAAATAATAGGCTATTATTATCACCGATTTATGTTAAAATTACCTTGTAAACCAACTGACACATCTCCACTCTCAAATTTCTCAAGTTCCTGTCGTATACCTTGTTCTTGTTTCAATGCATGTTTATACAAATTATTCATTTTTGTTTTATAAGAAAAGGTGAGTATTGATTTTACAATTATAGAAGTGTATATATATATATAAATAAAATTTTTTGAATATTCGAGTTTAAAGTTTGAAAAAGAAAATTTTCTTATTTATACTATAAAATCAGTGTATGAAATTCAGTGTGCGAAATGTTAGTTTAACCAAATTTGGTAATTATCTGAGAAAATCTGAGGATCATTGCCAAATTTGGTCAGAGAATCGAGAATCACATTCCGCACATTGAATTTTTGTACACTGTAATCTAATACATAACGTACTACAAAAATTTTTTTTTTTCGTAAAATTATGATAATAAATAATTATTTATTATTGATCGATGATGATAATGATTGATAAAACTCAAGAACAACATTATAAAACGCGCCGTCGTATTATAATATCGTTTTGGATAGTTATATTAATAGGTCTTCCGTTTTGGTGGAAGACTACTGAAGTTTATCGTGCTCAATTACCCTTTACTGAAATAGAAGAATGGTCAAAATGGGAGGTTTGCATATAATTTTTTTTTTTAAAAAATTATTTTATCAAATTATTTAATTATTTTTTTTATAATATCAGAAATTTGAGCTTGAATTTCCAATTGATATAAGACTTTATGTTGCTCAAACTAAAGGAAAGAAGGAGGGGACGGAGGATTATTTTAAAGACCTGGCAAATATTGTTGAAAATTCTATCAACAACAAGTCTGTTAATTTTACAAAATATCATAACAAGAACATTAAAAAATCAATAAAATATCCTATTAAAATTCAAATATTGAAATGGGAACATTGGGGAAGTCAAAGTATGATTATTATTAAATAATATAATGAAATGGCAACTGCGAGGACAAAAATTATTTATTATTTATATGTGCTAAAAATTTTTTTTAATGTGTGTGTAGATCCAAATACTATTTTAGATTTAATTGGTAAAAATGGACAATATGATTTTTATATTATGCCTGGTGATAATAATTTATCATCATCAAAAGTTTTAGTAGGAAATCAAAGACAAGCAATTGTTGAGATAAGTCAATGGAATATTGGTGAATTATATTAATTAATATATATATACACACACACATACACATATATATTAATAACTTTTGAACTAATCTATTTATTTTATTTATTTATATTTTAAGATGCCATTGACAAAACAATCTCTGATCTCATAATAAATCTATTTCAGCCTGAGCAGACTGCCATAAAAAAACTTTTAATGGAACAAGAAGTAGTTGCAAAGGTTTGTCAATTATATATGTAAATTATATTCACCATATATATAAAATTAAAATTTACATATATAATTTAACAAATAGGTAGAGTTTGATAATATGAGAACAATGAAATATTCACCATTGTATCAAGTAACATTTAGTTTATTGAATGGAAATCCATCAACTCTGCATGTAGATTGGGATATTGAACAAGCAGTTAATAAATTTTTGAAACCATTTATTAATAAAGTATCGGTTGTCTCGAATTTAACTATTGATTCACAAATTCAACATTATGCGAGATTAACTTTTCAACCATCATCATCATCATCATATGAAAAAGAAATTTCTTTCTTCTCTTTGACTCCTGATCTATTACCGCATTTCATTAATGCTGCTGAATGGAACTTGGGTATTTTATAATTGTTTATAGTAAATTTTTTTTTGGCATTATTATTAATACAATATTTTTATATTGGGGGAAAAAATAGCATCGGCTGTGTCATCTTATCCTACATTAAACTTTATATTATATATTCCTTCTCATGATCAAAGTCCACTTTATATTCTAGATTCAAAAGGTATATATATACATCATAATTATATTACATTCATATTATTACAATCTTGTTTATGTATATTTACCTTTTTTGTAGAGAATATTGTAGGGAATAATGCATTTCTTATTCCTAGATGGGGAGGAGTGATAATCAATAACATTGATGATAGGTCAATTGGAAATAATAATAATCATTTTTTCACTTTTGAAGAATTAAAATCTGTAATGTCTATATTTATAATGCAATTAAGAGGTTTACTTGGTGTACAAGATTTTTGGGGAAAAGCAAGACTTAATTTAGTAGAGTATTTGTATAAATATATATTGTAATATATACTTGATTAATTTATTGATTTATATATATATATATATATATATATCATATTTTTTCTTATGTTTAGGATTCATTAATAAATATAGAATTTACATCACCACCAAACACAGCAATCACAATGTGGGAACTTGATAGTTTGATAAGACGTCGTATAGCAGAAAATATTGATGCAACCATTTCAACATTAAAATCATTGTCACAATTAGTCACAGAAATTCCAAATATGGTTGTACTGGATCATATCCAAACTGAAGTTTTGTTAGCATTAAATAGTTTATCAAAGGTAAACAACGAATTTTTTTTTGTTTTTGTTACTAATTTTTTTCTCTAATACTTACGTGCACACTTGAATTTAGTCATGTGACAGTTTAAAAATGAAACGATATGATGTAGCATTAAAACATGCAAAAGAGGCGATAGAAAGAGCAGAATCAGCATTTTTTGATCCAACAATGGTTTCCATGCTTTATTTTCCTGATGAACATAAATATGCAATTTACATGCCATTATTTGTACCTATATCTGTACCATTATTGATTGCTTCTTATCGAGAAATAAAAGGATTATATCCTTTTTATTAACCCTAATATAAGAACGATTCATAGTTTTTTTATGCAATCTAAGTAACATCTCTTTCCTTATTTTATTTCTCTGGCCAAGGTCATCTTTTAAGCATATCGCTATTTATTTAACAAATAAAACATTTTTTCTGATATTTTGCTTGCATGACAACTTTCTAATTAAAAAAGTTTAGATCATTTTATCACTTTCTATGTAATAAATCATCACTACTTTACAAAACCCCAAATCAAAAAATCTCTACCAATATAAAAAAAAATAAAATTACAATACTTGAGTGAATTTTTTTGTGCATTATTGATTGGACTATTATTTCTTTGGCTTTTACTTTATCAGTGGAACATAAATTGTGAGAAAGTAAAAACCTGTAGTTTATTAGATTATTAATAAAAGCTCAAGTAATAATTAATTTACATAGACTAATTAAACTTTGTATTTATTTATTTCTTAGTCAAGTAGAAGCAATGGTAGACACAATCATGATCAATTAACGACACTTTTATCAATTCTCCTAATCCCATCACTTGGCGTATATTATTAATAATTTTTATATCATTTCATTTTTATTTATTTGATGTGCAGAAATCAACTCACCTTTAACATTTTAGGTCTTAAAGCAAATTAGAGGAACAATTTAGAGCTAATAATATATTTATATGCTTGTTTTTGAACCAATGATCAACTTTGAATATAACAAGAAGAGAGAGTCGGATTTATACACAACTTTGTCAAATAATTTTAAAGATAAGCTTGTCCTCCGTAATTCAAATATCAAAATGTTGCAACAAAACCGTAACGTTGCAACATACCCGCAACTTTAAATAGTCAATTATTAACGTGTACATATTTATTCATATAAAAGACTTTGAAGGAAAACAAGTTTATGCCAATTCTTTACATCCTGGTAATAATAATAATTTTAAATTTCATTTTTTTTTTAATTTATTTAATCAGAGGTTATAGATAATTGGGGTATACAGGCGATCAGTAAATTTTCACATCAATTACTTTGTGTGGAAAATATTTTGTTCCATTCGGAATAAAAAACTAAAAGACATAATAGTCGTGTGACATGTCCTGCGGATCAAAGGAGGCTTATTTTCCGATGATCTAGACAATTTTTATTAAAAACGATATTTAATATCAACATAACTTTGTAAGAGGTTTTGGGGCTTTATTTTTTGGGGTTGCACTTCCATTTTTGGAGGATTTAATGGATATACATGACCAATAAAAAGTTGCGAGACCAAGTGACTTGCACTATTAAATCTATATCTTACTTTTTTTGGAAATTATTTGCATGCGGATTTTTTCCACACGGTTATATAGCAAAAACGTTATCCCGTTAATATTAGAAAATACACATTTTGCGCAGTATATTTACTTGTATATAAACTGATATAAAATTTTGTAAACGTTTTTTAAATAAATTGACAATGTTTTTTACTAGTACCAAAAATTTTAAATTTGAAGACATTCCGGATTTAACTGGCAAAGTAATTAATTGATTAAATTGATATTTTAATTACTGATCGACTCATAATCATTGTTTTATAGGTTGTGGCAATAACTGGCGGCAACACGGGTATTGGGTACGTTACGTGTAGAGAACTGGCAAGAAAAAATGCACATGTATTTGTTCTAAGTCGTAGTATCGAAAGAGGTAAAGCAGCTGTTGAAAAGATTAAACAAGAGACAAAAAATCAAAACGTAGAGTTTTTACAATTGGATCTACAAAGTTTAAAATCTGTTAAAGAATGCGCTGAATCTTTTTTGGCTCGAAAATTACCATTACATATTTTGTAAGTAATAAATAAATTGATCCATAAACTATATACAAACAAAGTTTAATTAACTAGACTAATGATAATAAATTTTTTGTTAGGATCAATAATGCTGGTATAATGGCAACGTAAGTTAATTTATAATTTATATTTTTATTATTTTAATTAATTAATTAATATTTATGTATTAAATTTTCATGATAAAAGTAAGTTTTCTTTAACTGTCGATGGAATTCAAGATCAATTTGGAACCAATCATGTTGGGCATTTTGTAAGTTTTAACCTAATCCAATTTATCATTTGTATTAAATTCGCACAATATATATGCTAATTGTGCTTATTTTATATTTTTTCAAAACAAGTATCTTACAAAATTACTTTTACCAACAATTGAAGCATCAGCTCCATCAAGAATAGTTAATGTTAGCAGGTTGGTATTTATTTAGATAGTCAATTATTAACATCCATATATTTATATTTATCCATTGTATTATTTCATATTTAATAATAGTACGGCTCATAAATATACACCAAAGGGTGGAATAGAATTTGATAAACTAAATGATCCAGATGCTCAAACACCAATGGAACGTTATGGAGTATCAAAACTTTCAAATATTTTATTTACAGTTGAATTAAATAAAAGACTTGAAGGAAAACAAGTTTATGCCAATTCTTTACATCCAGGTAATAATATAATAATTATTTATTTTTTTCAAACAAAAAATAATATAAAAAAATTAATTCATTCGTTTTTTTAATTTATTTAATTAGGTGTCATAAAAACTGAATTGACAAGAGGTCTTGTAGATAATTGGGGTAGATGGGTAGTTCCATTTATTAAACTTGGAGGTCTCTTACTACTTACACCTGATGATGGAGCATTAACCTCGTTGTATTGTGCAACAAGTCCTGAAATTGAAGAGAAGAAATTTCGTGGAAAATATTTCATTCCATTCGGTGTAGAATCTACCGCTACACTAACCGATGATGCCAAAGATGAAAAGCTGGCAAAAAAATTATGGGAGTTTACTGATGATCTAGTGAATGAAAAATTAAAAGACATAAAATAGAAAATGAAATATGTATTTGTAATAAGATTAAAAATAAATTTAAATAATTATTATTTCAATCAACAAAAAATCCAATTTCTTAAAATTGTGGCTGCGGATATTTTTTGATAACTACAAGATTGGGAATAAGAATTGATTTTATCATTTCCTTTATGCGCTTTTTATCATTTTGAAATTAAAGATGATTGAGATCAGAAATGCATTTCTCCCACGGCTATTACTATATAGTAATAGTAATAGTAGAAAATATTTATCCGAAAAAAAATAAATTTGAAATTACAGGAATAGGCACCATTGTGAAATGGTTTGATTTGCGCTAAAATACAATAATGCATTTTTGTCTTCATGAAGATATATACCGTATATATTGATTCTTGCTTATTCTTGTAAATAATAATTGTTGTTGTATTAAATTCATGTTGATTTCAACACGGAAGAAGATAGCGAGGGAAAAAATGGAAGGCTATCAGGTGTCATTGAAAGCAGAAAGATTTTACAAAAATTGACCTGCAAGCCAATTTTTGCACACAAAAAAAATCTTTTTAAAAATAGAAAATTCCTTCCCCAAAAATCAAGTTTAGCAAAAGTCTGATTTTCAACATCTCCTCAACATCAAAATCAACATGCCATGTTAACTTCTCTCCTCCCTTCCCGTCATGACCATATCATAGAGAGTATATACCACAACGCAACAAACTTTGTGATACTGCAAATTCCTTTTTATAGATAAAATTACCAAAAAGACAACAATTAGCCTTGAATATTGTTGCACCGGATTGATTTCGTTGGTTTCTTACATTAAAATAAAAAGGTTAATCGTTTTCTTATGTATTATGTATTATCTTCAAAATTTTAATGATTATCTATCTCATTTTGAAATTATCTTATAAGAAGATAATGCATTCAACTATTAATATTTTGTTTATTTATATAGATTAAACTTCAACCAAAGAAATTAAAATCAAAAAATAAATTTCATGCAAATGTTGATACTAATAATAACAATGATCAAGTAAAAGGAGGAATGGGAAGATCAAAACTAAATTCACCTGATTTTTATATCCACAGCTACTAGGAAAGGCTATTAAATTATTAATATTTTTCAAGTTAGAAAAACCAAACAATGATTTCAAATTAACAATTATTTTTTTTTTAAAATCAAAAATTATGCAGAGTATTACCTTTGATTTATTTTTATTATATGACACAAATGACTCGCTTATCATAAACACCATAACTATATTGCAATAACCTTTTTATAATAGAACCTAATATCAAAAGTCAGAAATATAGATCTAAAAAATAACTTATTCTATATAATATGATTACTTTGAATTGCTTTTTTATTGTTTTGATAGTAAGTGATACAGATATTTTTTCTTTATTCCCTTTGTAATTTTCCTTTTTTAAATAAAAAGGTAAAGAAATGGTAACACTGTCAGCCTTGTCACCTGAACTATTAAGTAAGAAGATTATATCTGCATTTGAGTTAACAAATAATGGCTTGACATTAATATTTCAACTTCATGGAGAGATCTATTCTATTTTGAAAACAGCACCAAAACAACAATTAAATGTTTATCAATAGAAGATCAAGATTTCTCAGTAAAGAAAATCAACATTTGATTTAGATTTAAATTGTTGGAGAACTGATCATTATACAATTATATAAAGTTTACTACTGAATTAAATTTCATGCATTTAAAATCAAATTTGTGCAAAATAATAGGTAACAGCCATAAAATTTTAACTGAAAGTATGTAGACTTTATTTTAGACTATTCTATAATCAAACAAATTTTATCTGGTGAATATAACTATTATTTGATAAGTTAGTCACTCTAATAGATTTGACACTTGCTTTAAAAATCTTTACAAAGTAGATTTTAAATAATCATGGTAATTAAATTAAATTTATCATGACATGATTGATATGTTAAATCAGAAAATTTACCTGTTAATTTTAAAGTTGAAATTTATTTAATGATAAAATGGAAAGGTCCTATATAATTAGTTTTAGTGTAATTGAAATATCCAAAAAATTTATATTTTCCAACTTTATGGGTATATCTTTACTATTATTATTGTTATTATTATTATTATTATTATTATGTTTTGTTTCTCCTTCTCTATTAATTTTTCATTTATAACCAATGCCAGCACTGGTACTGCTACCAACTACTACCAACTGCACCACCATCATCACTACTAATATTATTAATATTATTGTTATTATTATTATTATTATTATTATTATTATTATTATTAATTTGATTGTAAATTTGATCGTAAATTTGATTAAATTCCGGATCATTTTGTCTCAAAAGTGATTCTATCATCACATCTCTTGTACTTCTTTTCAACTCATTTTGAGCATCTTGATCTCCTATGAAAGGTTGAAAAGCTGAAGTTAATTGATTTTTAGATTCTTGCAAAGCAAGCTCACTAAGAACATCAATTTTTTGAAGAGTCTGAGTTATTTCAGCTTCCTCAGGAAACATTACAGGTCCAATTTGTGATAATCCAATAAATATTGTGACAAAAAGTTGCCTTAAAATTGTGATTTGTTCAAAAATTAACCATCGAGACATCAACAATTCACGAAGTGAAATTGTTTTTATGGAATTCACAGGATTGTGAAGGATCATTGATGCTTCCATGAATGCCATACCAAAAAAAACTGCAAATCTCCAAAACCTTCCAAATTGTCCTTTTCCCAATACATTAAGAACAAAAAGTAATAACCCCGTGCCTATATAAAATTCAATCGACTCGCGCAATCCTTGAAAAACAAATTCTCGGTATGTACGACAATGATCACAAGTATTAAAAATATCAGAACCAAATCTAATAAATTTGATGTTCAAGAAAAAAAAACTTTTTTTTAATTCAAATTATTAATAAACAAAAAAAAACTAAAACAATAGATAAATAATGAACCTATCATATGCAAAACGTGTAATTGGACTACTTAAAATTTCATTAATGGTTCGAATCTTTATATAGACTTCTTCCGTTTTATCGTCTCGGTTTTTATCAGGATGAAATAGTAGCTGACTAGCGGAAAAATTAATAGAATAATTTTGTCAAACTATAAATGAAAATAATAAGAAATAAAAAAATTTGAATACTCACAGTTTTCTAAAGCTAGATCTGAGTTCGGGTTCAGTAAAATCATGCCTTAATAGATGTATATCATAAAAATTTGCAGGAATGGAATTGATAACATCAATAATTGTATATATTAAATACGTCGTTACAACAAATATATATATTTTTTTTCGATGTAAGGTGTGTTTTGGTTGACCAGGTTTCGGAACATCAGAGGCAACGCGATATGCAAACGAGTAATATGAATGTTGAATAAAATTTGTTGCTATGTTGGGAAGAAAAATTAACATAAAAGGACTCAACCATTCTAACAACATTATTATTATTTTATAAATCTTTTTATTAATATTGAGGTAACATTGGAGTCCATTATTAATTTTCTGATTTTTTTGCCGATCATTTCAAAAATTTTTTTAACACACTCAAAAAGTAGCAAATGACAAACAGATTGTGAGTTTATAGTTTTAATAAAAAGCACAAATGATTCTTTATTCATTCATTTAATCAAATCAAATCAAGTAATTACCATTCTAAATTTTAGAGAGACACAACCAGCTGAACTAAATCGAGTTCCTGAAACTCTTCTAAAAAAAAGAAAAGAACAAGAAAGAAAAACAGCAGAAAAAGTTGCATCAATTATTAAAAAACGAAAGGTTGAAACAATTAAATATGTGCCTTTACCGACTATAAACAATGCTAAACAATAATGCTAACAACTATAATTATAATACAATACAATATAATATAGGAAACAAAAAATTCTCGTCGTGTAATATTTAAACGAGCAGAGCAATATGTTAAAGAATATCGCATTGGTGAACGTCAAGAGATTCGTATGCGTCATTTGACTAATTCAAATCTCGATTTAAGTGTTCCAGAACAAGCAAAGTTATTATTTGTTATACGCATTAATAAGTAAGCAAAGAATGAATTATTTTTTTATTTTTTTAAATTATATTAATATTTTCTATTGTATATTAGCATAAAAATTATTACTCCGAGACAACAAAAAATTCTTAATATTTTTCGTTTAAATCAAATTAATACTGGTGTTTTTGTTCGTTTGAACAAATCAATTAAAATAATGCTTCAATTAGTAAATCCATATGTTGCATATGGTGTTCCCAATTTAAAGTTAGTATATATATGTAATTATATAATAACATCTTCCTAATCAATCAATTAACTGTCGATTAATTATTTTAGATCTGTTCATGAACTTATTTATAAACGTGGATTTGCCAAAATAAATAAAAAACAAGTCCCTATAAGTGACAATTTAATGATTGAAGAGAGTTTGGGAGATGTTGGAATAATTTGTGTTGAAGATTTAATTCATGAAATTTTTACTGTTGGACCAAATGTATGTTAATCAATTAATTACTTGATGAATTGATTAATTAGTCGATGGGATTTTTTCCTCATCTCTTGTTCTTTTTTTTTTTTTCTAGTTTAAAAAAGCAAATAATTTTCTTTGTCCTTTTAAATTATCAATACCTGATGGTGGATGGATCAAAAGAAAATTTGGTCATTGTAATATTTTAGAAAAAAATGAATTTGGTGATTGTGGAGAGCAAATAAATAATTTAATTCTAAAGATGAATTAATAATATAAATCACTCCACAATATATATATACACAGCGTGTTAAGAAAAAAACGGTGGTTTGTAAAATGTTGTTTTTATGAAAAAGTAGCCAAAACTATGTAATAAAAATTATACCAGAGAGCCGGAAAATCCTAAATTATGTTGTTATGTAGGACCTCAGAGACTACATAGATAAGTTATCCCAAAATTTACCCAAAATCTAATTGGCTAATCGAGAAAATCAGCACTAATATGGTTAAATTAAGGCCATTTTGGTAATGATATTCGCGCGCTCAATATTAAGTTTACCCAAATTTAGGGTAACCTATCTATGTAGTTTCCGGGGTCCTGCTTAGAGCAATTATTATTAAAGAAATTTACACATTGAATTGTTTTTTCAAAATCAAATTTCTTTATTTCCAATTGACAAAATTCTGGAAATCCGGAGGTATGAAAGTTTATATACATAATCTCCAGAAACTGGTATGATTTTTTGTACGATTATTATGTATATTTTGTCAAAAATTTAGCAAATCTTCAAGATTTTAAGATATCAATTAATTTGTTCATAGTATTACCAAAGATATTGACCTAACTAAAGACACCGACCCAACCAAAGATCCTGATCCAACCAAAGATGATCCGCCACCACCGGATGATGAGGAAGAATGAGGGGTAAAAAATAAATTACTATTATAGCATACTGTAACAAAACGAACATCATTTTAAAATTCTAAATATCCGGTTGTCATGATGGTAATCTTTTAATAATGTGATTGTCCTACGAAAATTGTCAGTTTGTTTTGTTCATTTTGGCCTGGTTCAATTCAATTTGTTTTTGCTTCGGCTTTATTTAGCTCGGCCAACATTCCTTTTCTTTTCTTAAATCTTGGATAATGATTTGTTGTTTAATAATTTCAGTTCCTTGCTTCCTTAATTTTTTAATTTTTGCTTTAGTTCCTGAATAACATCTTCAATTTGCTGTTTTACAATTGTTGGCTCTTCTGGTACTGTTATATCTTATCAATTTCTTTAAACTCAACAAGACAACAAATATAATTCAGTACAAGATATATTTGATTCCGTTATTAATGGATTAGTACAATTGTGATCTTAACTAATGAAAAATACTTTCTGGCTGAAAACTCTCGACTTTCTCTTGTGCACATGGTTTATTATTATAAGTTCCTTAGTTCATCGTTTATCAAAATAATTTCATCATCAATCCACAGACTGACGATACTTATCCTTGGACTTGGATTCGTATATAGGAGTAACTTAATAATTATTCTGTTAGTTTTATTTCCTTATCAATTAATCCATTGATTGAATTTGGTTTGGCATTGATCATTTGGCACTCGAGCATATTTGTGACTTTGTTATATGGCCTAGCTTTTATTCATTTATGTGGATATTTTACACCATATTTATATTTTTATTTTCTTTTAGCACCATACAAAGTTGTTATTGGCATTCTTTGATTTTGGTTTTGGTACGATTTTCCTGATTAATATTAATTTGGCTACTTTTAAATTCCTTGAACAAAGGTGAAGCATATGAAAAATTTGGGATCAACAATTCAACCAAAAAAAGAAGACTTGGAGACCTGTCAACAGAATCCAATAACTCAAATATCTCTTCTGAAATAAAAAAATTAGAACATGTACTTGAGAAAAGAAACACAACTCAAACTGCCGTCAAATGTAATAACTACATAATATATAAATAAAAAGAAAGCCATGACGAAGTTGGCATTTCATGATATTTTATATATAAAGTTATCTAATCGATTTCATTACCATGTGTTTTTTTATAAGACTTTTAGCATTTTCTTTTTAAACACCATGACATAAATTATTTATGCCACATATACTATAAATGGTTTTTTATTTTCTAATAAGTATTTTGAAAGTTAAGAAATTTACTATGATGTTGCCCCGACGATCTTATAACATCCCCTCAGATATGGATTATGACTTCTTGTTGAATTAAAAAATGAAATTGGTGCTGGTGGCTGTGATCCAGCTACAAAGTTTTATACCTAGGAGAAAGAGTGCAGAAATGCTCAAATGGTGCAACTGGCAATGCTTCTTGATAGCCTTAGCTGGATGTATCTTGGATGCCATTTATGCTAATTGTCCCTTTTATAAACTTTATACCTTAATTCCTACCAATGATGTGAGAAGGATGTATGATTTTCTAGATCAGCTGAAAAAATTTTATAGATCACTGTAGATTACCAACGATTTCAAATTGCTATAATCAAGACATTGCCAGTATTTTACCTATGAGAAACTTGTGAATAAGCCACAGAAGCTTCTTTGGAAAACTGAAATGAAAGATGAACAAAAAATTGTTGTTAAATTCACACATGATTATAATAAAGGGTACATGAATTATGCAATGCAATTGGAAAGGCACCAGGATTGTATTGTGTTGAGGAAATATATGGGTTCTGTATAGTGGTAATAGAACACATTGATGGTAATCAGCTTGATAAATGTGATTTGCTAAAGATATTGAAGAAAATTGCATGATGAGAACATTGTGTTTTCTGACCTTTGTGATTCAATGTTTTAGCATACAAGCAAAAGAACAGTATCATGGAATGCTGCTAGATTTTGACTAGACTGGCAAAGAGAAAAATTGAATTCTATCAATCTTTTATTAATTGGAAAAATATTAGTTGGCCATTAATAAACAAATGCTGAGAAAAGGGCATGATAACTATTAGTTGGAAATGTTGAAAGTAAATACTTATGTATTTGTATAAGAAATTTGGTAGCTGTGATTGAGGTTGTGATGATGATATTCTTTCACATAATTTCTTTCTGGCCATGTTCTTTTTGTATATAAGGATTGTTGATTATGTCGATTCTTCAACTGAGACTTGAATATCCAAAAAATTTCAGATCTTGACCAAATTCTTGGTGGATTTTATGAGCTGTATCAATTACTGCCATGGTTTAGCTGCTTTAAGGGTATATTCCTTTTGTGCAAGGGATATCTTTACAACTTCTCAAATAAAAATCGGGAGGGTAACATAGCAACGTGTAACAAAACACTTTTAAACTTGTACAAATTTTCTTATTTTTTTTTTAATTATATTAATTATACATATACAAAATAATAATAAAAATACATAATTTGTTGAAGCATGAATAAATATATTACAAATTTCTTTTATTTTGCAATTTTACGTAATTGAAAAACATATTGAATATCCAATTCAGTATGTTGCATCACGGCATGAATCACATTTTCTTCCTCTTCGTCTTGTTCATTTCCTGAATTATTATTGTTACTATCCATATTATTTAGATAATTTATATTTTTTCCTGGTATGATTTGAACTAAATTTCCCTACATCAATCAATTAATCAATTAATCAATTATTATTTAATTTTTCTGTCAAAGAAAAAAAATAAATAAAAAAGATTTACTTACAGTTTCAATATGTCTTATTTCAATAAATAATTGATTAAATCCAATTACATATGGTGAACTTAATGCTATAAAAAAATAAATATATAATAATATAATAATCATTGATTACTGAAAAATGATGATGAAAATGAATGATAATATTACTCACCAACTGCGTCGAGTTTTCCTTCCCATTTCATGGGTTTTTTATTTGTCAATTCACCATATTTATTAATATAAAAAAAGATTTCTATATATATATATATATATATAATGAAAAAATCGAAAAATATTTTTTTAAACACTTTTTGTCAATTAAACACCTTCACACGAATATATCAAAATCAAAAACCAACCATCATAGCATAATAAATATTCATCTCCAATTTTAAACATTGCAAGAGGTTTTGAGTTTTCACATAATTTTGCTATCGGTAGCAATGATTGATGTTGTGCGAAGTCAGGTATGGTGACTATTTTTCTAAGAGAATCCAAATTAACAATTTCAAATCCTCTTGCACATGTAACACATAATTTTGTTTTTAAAAAATTTACTGAATATGAATCAGAAGGAATATTAAATTCCTAAAAAAAATCAATTAACTGAATTAACAATTTCATTCATAATTATATTATTATAAAATGACGACGACAATAATAGTAATAGATACTTTGTATTCTTTAAACCACTCGTTTTTCGATTGAATAAATCCAAATCCTTTCTTTGAAATTGATGACGATGATGATATTTTTCATTTGTTGGATCAAAGGAATAAACAGCCTCTAAAGTTTTAAAATAACTATCCAATCCTTTTCTTTTCATAAATACAATCAATGCCTTGTCTTTTATTTTTCCGGCATTAAAATAATTAACATGACCATTACTTAAACGGTGACGAATAAATGTATTATAATCATTTGATGATGTCGGTGTTGTTGTAATTAAAGATTCTAATGAATATGCCCAAAGACTTTTATCTTTGAAGAAAAAATAAATAAATTAGTGATGATGATGATGATGATGATGATGATGATGATGATGATGATGATGATGATGATGATGATGATGATGATGATGATG